TGGCGGCGGTGTCGGTGTCGGTGGCGCCCGCCGTGCCCTCTGGCTCGGAAGGGCGACCCGTCTCTTTCCACGCGGACGTGAACGGCCACAGCTTGCACCCGCCTTACTTCAACCTGGCCGAAGGCACCCGGATCTCGGCCACGGCGACCTGCGGCGAGGAAGAGCCGGGATCCCGGAACCCCAGGCCGGTGGAGGATTTGTATTGCAAGCTGGTGGGGGGGCCGGTGGCAGGAGGCGAGCCCAACCAGACCATCCAGGTATCTTTGCCCTCTGAAGTTCTGGGGGTGGGTGGGGAGGCGATCGCGCACCCGATCCCCGTCTCCGGAGGCTCTCCTTTTATTCCTCATCATCCGCGTGTTTGTTTGCCAGAGAAAACATGCCAGGCTGACACACACACCCCCAAAGCGCGCAGGTTCACGTCGGGCTTGCTAAGAGGGAGGCTGTAATCTGGGTCGCCCAACATTCGGACTTTCTGCTGGAACCCCAACTTTTATAACTTCTCAGCCTGGTGAAGAGTTTTCGGAGAGTGCGAACGTTTGCCTTATTTGTGTGATTAAAAAAACACACACAACGATTTGATAAAAGCGGTCTCTAACTCAGAACTTTGTTTCTGCGAATAATTCATAGGTCGGAGTGATAAGGGGGTTTTGCATTTGCTACACTGTAATCATGTGCGTTTTTTGTGGGAGTAAACCGAATTTATTTTATTTTATTTATTTTATTTATATTCCGCCTATCTGGTCAATTATCTGTCGATCATAGGGGGACCAGCTTCAGAGTTAACACAGACATACAACTGGTGTGTTACAACATTGGGTGCTGTGGATCATAGGGGGGACCCGCTTCAGAGTTAACACAGGCATACAACTGGTGTGTTACAACATTGGGTGGGGGGTATCTTGAATCAAAAGCAATTGCTCTAGATCTGAGATCTTTTTCTTCTTCACCAGTGTGAGTTCCTAGATGGGCTGAATTCTCCACCTCCCCCCTTTATAACCCCATTCTCCAGTTATCTCCAAATTTTATTTTCTGTTTGTGCAACAGACACACTATATCTCTTGAGAGGGAAGAGAGCACATCTGTGGTCACACCTTTTTTTGCCCACCCAGGCGTGTGCATCTACTGAGCGCAATGCCCCATTGCTTCCCTTTTGACCAATGAATTTAGCTGATCCCCCCCCCCATCTGAACATGTTACCTTTTGGGACTGCAGTTCCCAGAATCCCCAGCCATCTTGGAATTCATCATCCTCCAAAAGTAATGTTCTCCAGGCTGTTTTTTTTTTTAAAAAAATAAAATAACTGGTGTCAAATGGCAGTGTCACCCTCCTGTTTTAAGAAGAGAGACATGGTTATCTGTCTCTCAATACACATTGGATGAGTACAGACAAGGCTATTGTGAAACCTGCTGTCTGAACTTCACTGCCAGATGGGGGGTGGTGTGGTGGGTGGGTGAGGAGAACCCACCTTGCTTGCATACCGGATTAGAAATCTAGAGCAATAAAGGGAATGAAAAGATTAACTATTCATTTGGAATTTGGCGGGATTGTACAAAAAAAAAAACCTGGCTTAGGCAGTCATTTGTGGTGAGTGAAGAGTTGACTGCCTTCATTGTTCGCTACAGCAGACACAGACTTGAAAGCAAAACTGGCGCTGCTGCGCTAAATGTGTTTGACTGCAATGTGTGTACTCGCACTGCTACTTTAACAAGTGCAGGTTGGATTTTCTCTTATCAAACTGAGCTTATGTCTATCTGCCAAAAATAAAGGTTGCTACCCAGCCAAAGTGAAATATTTCTCAAGAATACAAGACAGTATTGTCTCCATTGATTTCAGGGAGGGAAAAAAAAACCTATGTAAACATGTGCTTAACTTCTCTGCTTTAAAGTTGTGGAACTGATATTTAACTTTGCTCAAGTGATTGTCTCGTTTGTTAGGTCTGCGAAATAATCCCATTACGTATGTTTTTGGGACATAAAAGAAGAGATGTTGGGTTGGGAAAAAACCCAAATTGGCCCATTCATACTACTTAATAATAATAATAATAATAATAATAATAATAATAATAATAATAATAATAATAATAATAATAATAATTGTGTGCTGCCAAGTCAATTCTAACTTATGGCAATCCTTTTCAGAGTTTTCCAAGTACAGAATACTCCGAAGTGGTTTACTGTTCCCTTCTTTGGGGGGGCATCCTGGGACTGTGCAGCTTGCCCAAGGCCACACAGGTTGGCTGTACTTGCAAGAGAAATGGTGGGGAATTGAATCTCAACCTCTGGACCCACAGCCCGATACCTAAACCACTGAACTATCCAGCCAACTATTGCTTAATATTTAGCATTTATATACTGCTTTCTCTAAGTGCTTGGAGTGTTTCGTATTGGCTTTCTTACAGTAACTCTGTAGGACAGAGTGGTGTGCTTATGTCTGTATTATCCATGGTGACTAAGGCACAGTGGCTTGGCTTCAGGCTGTGTAATAAGTTTGTGCTTGATATAAAGGAAGCTGCAAATATCCAGGTTCATATTTGTAATGTTTGGATTGCATTGCTTACAATGTAAGCTGTACATGGATGCTTAAAGAACATGGCAGGATTTGCCCAGTGCAAGGGTTGGATAGTTTAAAATCAGACAGACAGGGCCTCCAAGCATATATACCGCAAGCTTTAGATTGAGTATACTTCTAAAGCATTTCAAACTCAGTCTAAAATATGTGAGCTAGTGTGACATAATAGTGGTTAGAGTGTTGTATTAGGACTCAGGAACGTTGTGTTCAAACCCTCATTTGGCCATAAAATTCACTGAATGATCTTCAGCTAGTCAAGGATCTCCCTCCCCCATCTGCTGAGAAGAGGAGGGCTGTGTAGGCTGTCTTAAGCTCATTTGAGGAATGGGCTGTGAACAAGTAAATAATGCATGTAACAGGCTGGCTGGCTATCCCAGTGGTTTAGGTACTTAGTTGTGGAGCCAGAGGTTGGGGGTTCAATTCCCCATTGGGGACTTATGGGTTGCCATAAGTCATAATTGACATAATGGCAGCTGGTTATTATTATTTAAGAGATAGACAGTACATATTGCTAAGAAACCTGAAGATAATAATCCTGCCTTGTAGCATATGTATATGTTACTTTCATTTGCCACAATTAAACAAGGAAATCTGGTGATTTAAAAAAAAACCTGAACAAAAACTAGCTAAACCCTTGAATGGAGGCAATAGGCAAGCTAAGCATGCACACCATGCGGGACGTCTGACACACCGTGTTCAGTACTTGAGGAAAAAGTGTTTTTATCTTCCAACCCCAAGGGGAATGTGTTGAATGTGGAGAATATAGGGATGAAGGTGTCCTTAAATTATTTGAAGGAATGTGGGTGGGAGAGAAGGGTGTGTTAAGGATAAACAATTATTACAGGCTTATGTCAAAGTAAATGTTGCCTGCTTAAACTGGAGCCTGGCTGAGACGCCACAAGTACCCGAGGCCAAGAATTTCCTAGGAATGTGGATGGTAAAAGCGTACTGCTGTTTGGAGTGACTTCTGCTTGGCAAAGTGCTTAACAACTGTGGACATCTGGGTTGGAGGGGGAACCTGTTGCAAGAAAGGATTTGCGAAGGGGGTGGGTGGGAACGGGACTGAGAAGACCGAATGAGCTTTCATTTCCCTGAATCCCAGGCCCTTTGTAAATCCTGGGAAGGCAAACCAGAGTAGCTGGGAAACAAATGGAATCGGAAACCTCCCCCAGTGTGAGATGAAAGCCTAAGACAAACCAAAGCAGCAGGAACCACTGTGGTTTCTGCTGGGTTAGGAAGAACTTAAAATGCCAGTTCACCTGGAGGCCTTTCTGCGGGGAACGTTACAGAGCGCTGTATCTTTTTCTGTACATTCACACTCAAACGCACTCGGAAGCCACGAATAAAAAGTTAAGCATGGCATATTTAATTGGGGGGAATTGTTATTTGTTTTGCCATGGGATTATTGGCTTCGAATCCTCATTTAAGAGTTGCTTCATACCCGTGTTGCTTCAGAGGCTAATGTAGAATATGCCCCCTGTTTGAAACAGCAAGGTTATCTAAAACCATATTTGTATGAACTGTTGGTTCAGAATGCGGATCCTGAGGACCAATGAACATATTACACTTTTTAGCGTAATATGTTTGTTCCTCCCCAGGGAGAATGAAAGAGAATCTCAATACTGCCTTGTCTTCTGAACCCTTTTCTGCCCATTCCAGATTATTAGGATTACAGTACTATGTTCAGCTGTTGCAACGTGCATTTGCCTTTTAGAATATTTGCTGCGGAAGGCTGCAGTCTTATATACAATTCATCATCATAAGCCATCAAGTCAATTCTGACATGACAATCCTTTTCAGGGTTTTCTAGGTAGAGAATACTCAGAAGTGGTTGACCCTTCCCTTCTTCTGGAGGTGCTCTAGGGCTGTACAGTTTGCCCAAGGCCACACAGGCTCATTTTTCTCCCTGCAGGCACAGTGGGAATCAAATTCCCAACCTCTGGCTCAGCAGCCAGATACCTAACTCCAGCTGTCCAGCCAGCTATATCCAATTAACTAGACTAGGTCCTATTGACTCACTGCTAAGTAGACAAGCTTTTTGCTCTCCATCTCTTGCATCAGACAGTAAAATGTCCTTCCCAGTGGGTGCCCACACTGTAGTAAATGTTAAGTTGTAACTATGAATGAATGAATGAATGAATGAATGAATGAATGAATGAATGAATGAATAGTTGGGCAGTGGTGGTTGGAGGACATAGTCAAAGCTTCAGGTCTACATTGGTAGTTGTTTTAAGTGGCTTCTCTTCTGCCAATCTCTCAGTTTTGGAGTTTGGATAGACTGCGTTGGTGTATGCCTTTTGTACAGCAGCCTTCACCTACTGATAAAATCTTGCACAATTAAGAGCAATATTGTATGTACCTCATGCTCTGGTATGAGACACTAAGCCTGCTCACAGTGAGTGACTGTGGCATAGTGACAGGAGCTTGCTGACTGCCCAGTTCTTCCATTTTTGCTGCATGGTTTGATTTGTAGCAGATTAATGTCCAACCTCAATGCTGCAGTTCTGTTTTGTGAGATGTCTGTTGCTTTATTGCCAGTCCTCCTCAATTAACATAATGAGGGAGAGGTGGACAAAAACAAGGAAAGATTTCCCTTTGCTCTTCATCAGCAGTGTTACACACTGAATATAACATATTTTGAATTGGAGATTAAAACACCAATTACCGGTATGCCGTGGATTTGAAATGT